CCAAGGATACCCTTGCGTCCTTGCCCCCTCGGTCCATCCTTCGCCACGTTCGTTGGCCGCGCCCCGCTCGAAGAGCTTCGAATTGGGCGTCCAAGGCCCTTGCATCCGTATCGCGCATCCTCACTGCACGGGTTGACTGCATCGGGCGACGACACGTATACACATCCACTGCTCCCTGGCCAGGCCCAGCCTGGACCCAGGCGCTGTGCAGCCGCCCTCCTGGCCGGTTCGGGAGGGGCCTGGCCGGGGAGCAGCGGGTATGCGCAGATTTCGCCGCCCTGCCACGGAAATCCGACAGACCTCCCCTCCATCGCAGGGCTCGTTGCGATTCCTCCGGTGTGAGCTCCGATTCGGTTCGACCTCGGATGCCGATTGGGATGCCGATCCCTCAGTGGAGGCCTACCCGCCTGCCGATCTCTGCCGCTTCGACCTCTCCCGACTCGGCCGCCGATTCCTGCCGATCTGGCTCATTCCGATCGCCGATGCGACTCGTGCCGGTTCGACCCTGGGCTCTCCTGCCGTCGCGGAGGAAGCATGGGATCGAGCCGGCGGCCAGCAGGACCCCCGCAGCAGACTCCTCCCCGGCGCGCGGGGGGGGGGGCGCCTCGGGGCGGCTTAAGGCCCACCCGGCCCTGGGCGGGCACGGCCCCCGGGGCCCCCCCCCCCCCCCCCCCCCCCCCCCCGCGAGGACCTCGCTGCGCACCCGGCTCGCGGCCTCGGCGAAGCCCTTCGAGCCGCAGTTCAACGTGACCTTCGACCCCGCCCAGCACACCTGGACGGTCGACGCGCCCGAGGAGGACCGCGGCCGCTCGGGGCGTGGTCCCCCCCCCGCCTCCTTCCTGCTCCTCCTCCTCCTCTCTGCTCCTCTCCTCCTGCTCCTCCTCCTCCTCCTCCTCCTCCTCCTCCTCCTCCTCCTCCGCCCCCTCCCAATCGAGACGAAAGTTTTTCCCGGCCTTCGGCCTCCCGGGGCCCTCGCCAGGCCCCAGGGAAGGGGTCGAGATCTCCGGGGGCCCCGCACGTCGGATCTCCGGGCCCCCGGCGTGGCCCCGGCCGCCGACGCGGGGTGCGGCTCCCTCCGGGCCCGGGAGGCGTCGCTTTCCTCGGGGCCCTCGGGGCCAGGGCTCGTTGTCGTGGTGATCGTTGTCGTGGCTACCGATCGCTGTCGTCATTCCATCGCTGTCGTCGTGATCGTCGTGCCTTCCCGGTGTCGTCGCCGGGGAGCCAGGACTCTGGCAAGTCGGGGAAGCGGCTTGCCGAAGTCCTGGCTGCAGTCGAGGAAGAAAAACGCCATGAACATAAACTTTCGGCGCTCTGCGCGGATTTCTTGGCCAGGGGAGTCCAGCGCGGATCCAAGAACTCCGCGCGGAGCGCCAAACATTTATGTTTATGACGTTTTGTTGTTCTTCAATATAGTCCGACAGGCCAGGACGTTGGCGGGTCGTCTCCCTGACTTGCCAGAGTCCGAAAAGGGACATTGATCTGTTCGCCGAACCTGTAAAAAGAAAACGTTGAACGTGAGTTCATCTGCGAGCACTCTACGCACTTGTTTTGCAGATCCGACGAACATTCCAATTTTGGGGTAAATCAGCTCTGTTGTCGATCCCCTACTCGCGGGGTGGCTGGTGAGAGCGAGCATGCCATCCTTTCCTGCCCAGCGCCTCGGCCTAGCGAGGCCTCGCAGGACCCCGACCAGAGATCGGGGCCCTCGAAAAGAACATTGACCAGCCAGGACTCTTCGAGCAGGAGATCGACTACAGAAGTGATTTACCCCAAAATTGACACGTTCGTCGATCTGTAGTCGATCTCCTGCTCGAAGTTCGGGCCGGACGAAAGGGGGGGGGGCATTGGGAAAGGGGGGGTTACGAAATCTGCTGCGTGCAGCTGGTTTCGGCCTCACCCACGGGCCCATTCCTCGATACATAGCCGCCTCCGGCGCCGGGAGGCGCCGGGAAAATCAGCTATACGTGAGCTGATTCTGAACCCCCCTCTTTGCTGTCCCCCCCTTTCGCCCGACCCGACTCTCGTCCCTCTCAACAGCGCCGACGTCGGGAATGGAAACCTGCGCGCGCTTGGAAACATGAGAGGGTCGGACGCCCTTCGTCACTGCTCACCACCAGACCACCCCAGCCCAACTCGGAGGTCCCACATCCTCCCCAATGTCGGGTCGGGGGGTGTACAGGTGACATGGTGCTTTTTCTATGTTCCCGAATGCCGCCCCACTGAAAATTGATAGGTCCAACCCTTTCGCCCAACCCGAGAAGCGTCCTGGCCAGTCCATGTCCTTTCCGGGGGCCCCGGTCTCCGGGCGGGGGCCCTGCGAGGCCTCGCCAGGCCGAGGCGCCGGGCAGGAAGGGAGGGCAACGCTCGCTCTCGCCAGCGGCCCCTCGAGGGGGGGAAATCGACTACAGAGCTGAGTTGCCCCAGAATTGGCATGTTCGCAGGATCTGCAGAAACTGCGTAGAGTGTTCGCAGATGCCCCAACGTTTGGCGTTTTTTGCTGGCAGATTCGGCGAACAGGTCCACCTGGGGCCAAACCAGTGCTATCGTCGATCCCCCGATTTGAGCCCCTGCGGGATTGGCCAGACGCGTCTCGTTCCTCACAGGGCTTTCTCGTGTCCCGGTGCTGGCCTGCGCGTAAGCGGAACGATGCGGTGCTGACCCGGTTCGGTTCAGAGCTGATGCATCGATCAAGGGAGGAAAAACCACCCGGACCAGACAATTGGCGTTTACCAAACGGCCCTGGGCGTTTGCCAAAAGCCTTGCCCCGCTCGATTTCTTCTCTGGGCGCGTGTGCTGAACGACTCCGCGCGTCGGGGTGGTTATTATATGGGTGGTTTTCTTGACCCCGCATCGAAGCTCCACCTGGGCGGCGGCCGCAATTCCAAACCGACTTGAATCGGGAGGGAAAGAAACACAAAGACACAATCAATCGGCGATCCCCAGGAAACTATGGGAGCATATGGGAAGTGGGGGGGAAGAGGAAAACCCAGAAGATATGGGAAAATTGGGGCAATCCTGCTATTTGTGTGTATTTATTTGTGTGTCCCAGGGCCCCTTGATTGAAGCAAGCCGAGCTGCTGCGGTCGGCGCTTCGGAGGGGCGCCGCGACTCTGGCCGGACCTGGAGCCAGGCAGGCCCACACCCTTTGATGGGAAAGGGGGGGGTACGAAATTTGCTGCTTGCAGCTGGTTTCGGCCCCGCCGAGGGGCCCATTCCTCGATACATAGTCGATCTCCTGCTCGAAGATCGGGCCGGGCGAAAGGGGGGATTGGGAAAGGGGGGGGTACGGAATTTGCTGCTTGCAGCTGGTTTCGGCCCCGCCGATCGGGGCCCATTCCTCGATACACAGCCAATTCCGGCGCCGGGAGGCGCCGGGAAAATCAGCTAGGCTACGTGAGCTGATTCTGAAACCCCTCCTTTGCTATCCCCCCCTTTCGCCCGACCCGACTCTCGTCCCTCTCAACAGCGCCGACGTCGGGAATGGAAACCTGCGCGCGCTTGGAAACATGAGAGGGTCGGACGCCCTTTGTCACTGCTCACCGGACCACCCCAGCCCAACTCGGAGGTCCCACATCCTCCCCAATGTCGGGTCGGGGGGTGTACAGGTTACATGGTGTTTTTGTCGATGTTCCCGAATGCCGCCCCACTGAAAATTGATAGGTCCAACGGCGACTTCGGGTTGAGTTGGGGTGATTTGGTGGGTTGTCAATTCGCGTTCGAACCTGGGCCGTTCGGATCTGGATCTGGACACTAGGCACCAGCAGGCAGCGTTTGTTCCGAAGCTGCCCACGTCTGGGAAGATCCGCGGGGTTGCATAGGGAGGGACGCCGTTCGGCATGTCACGTCCCGCTGGGCGAGCCGCGTTTGTCCAAATCGGGCGTGAGTTGGTGTTCCTTCGAGAGCGAAGTGACTGAGACTTGCCAGGGGCTCAGGACCGCAGAGGTGATGGATGATTGGGTCGGCAGGGTGTGGATGACCTGTGGCCGGCGCCACTGCCTGCACAAGTTGTTCATGCAGGAATCGGCATAACGGGCATCTGGGCTCTGGGATGAGGACTGATGAGCGGGACTGCGTGGAGCAGGATGAGGATGATGAGAAAGAGGAGGACGAGGGGGGGGAACAGGAGGAGGAGGGGGAGGAGGCGGAAGCGGAAACGGAAGAGGCAGCAGGGGAAGGAGGAGGAGAAGGTGTAAGGAGGACCATGTCGGATGAGGATGTTGTTGTTGTTGATGATGATGATGACGATGATGATGATGTTGATGATGATAATGATAATGATACTGATTGTGGTGTTGGTGATGGTAATGATGCTGATGTTGATGATGATGATGATGATGATGATGATGATGATGATGATGATGATGATGATGGTGATGGTGATGGTGATGCTGATGTTGATGTTGATGATGATGATGATGCTGCTGCTGATGATGATGATGATGATGATGATGATGATGATGATGATGATTATGGTGACGGTGATGATGATGACGATGACGATGATGATGAGAGGAGGAGGAGGAGGAGGAGGAGGAGGAGGAGGAGGAGGAGGAGGAGGAGGAGGAGGAGGAGGAGGAGGAGGAGGACGGACATGAGGCGGAGGACACAGAGGAGGTAACGTGGAGCAGGGAGACGAGGGGTATCATAAAGAGAAGGAAGAGAGGAGTCGCTGTGAGCATCTTCGCTGGCAGCTGCTCTGCAGCGACCACGCCCCGAGGAGGGCGGCGGCAGCGACGGCACCGGGCAGGGCAACAGGGGCAAGGGCGAGGCCTCCGCGGGTCTCGCGGGTCCTCCTCTGCCCTCGCCTCTCCCCCAGGGCAGTTCCTCGCCCGCTCCCCGCCCTTTCCCTCCCTCCTCTCCCTCCCTCCCCTTCTCTCCCGCTCCCTCCCCCCTCGCATCTACGGTGTTCCCTCCCTCGTTGTTTCCTCCCTCCCCAACCCCCTTCTCCCTCCTCTCCCCCTTCTCCTCCCTCTCCCTCAAGCGGTGCTAGTTCAGGGCGGTGCATGCTGCATCTCACCTTGGTCCAGGCCCTGCGCCGCGACGGGATGCCTGAGGGGCGCGCAGCCTCCTGGTCCTGCCACCAGTCGGCCCGCGCGGCGAAACAAGGCATGGCGGCTGTGGCGCAAGCTTGGAGCGAATATTCCGGATGCGCCTTTTACGAATGGAGCGACGTTCTAGAGCAGATGTACAGCAAGTTCGCCAGGTGCCATCGTCCAGGCAAGCGTTTCAACCCAAGCCATGGAAAAGCAGTGGTTTTGACGACGTCCCCAGCAGTTAGTGCGCGCTGGCCCCAGCGGGCAGGAAGGGCAGAGGAAAGGGTACGCAGGGCCAAAGCAATTCAGCCACAGCCGCACGGGAAACCAAGGCCATGCTGACAAGGATGATCGCCAGCACGAGGGACGCAACGCTGAAGCAGTCGCTGCTAGAGTAGCCCGACCAGGTTGACAAGCAAAGTAGTATTGTCGGCGCGTCAGTCGCGCCTGAAGTGGCACTTCGACGCGCGGAGAGAGCATGGAAGAACGCACGCATGCGGCATGACCAGGCCGTTTCATAGGTGATTAAATGTCGGGAGACGTTGGTTATGGCGGAGGAGAAGGAATCTCAGATGGCCAGGGTAATTGCAGCAGCCGAGGCCACCAAGAAATTATTGCCGTGCGCTCGCTCGCGCAGGAGGCGGGACTTGAGACGATCAGTAGCGATGCGACCAAGTCTTGGACCTTGTCTTGGGCCGAAGACTTCTTCCCCACGCTAATGGAGTACGAGCGCGAGCCAACCGAGAAAGAAGAGTTGCAGAAGCTAGACGCAACGCTGCGAGCAGCCAGGGACTCGTTCACTGCCAAGGATCCCAGGTCGAGGAGTTGAAGCAAAAAGTTATGCAGATGCAGAGTGCGATCGCGCATAGGATGACCAAGAGTGCGGGCGGGCGGGCGGTGCAGCAGCAGGCGGGCGGGCGGGGCAAAGGGGGTGCAGGCGGTGCAGCAGCAGATGTCACAGAGAATGGTGTGGGCTCCAGTTGCAGCGCTGGCTCAGGTGGCGCAGCAGGCGCAGCCACCAACGCCGCTACGGGCACCGGCAAGCCGGCTGATGAGGACATTCAGCGGGAAACCGACAGGATCTCTTCAGGCAACTTCTCACCTAGGGCAGCGGCTGGCAAAGGGGAAAGAGCGCATCAGCAGTGAGTGCGCGCAGAGCAGCCCGAGCCTGGCGAGCTGCCCGACAACGCGGACATCCAGGTTTGCGCTTTCGGAGCTTGCGAGGTCGACGTCGATTTCGGCATCTGCGGCGGCGGCAGCGGAGGGTGCGCGGCTGCGGCGGCGGCCCACCCCCATGCTTTTTCTAGCCCTTTCCCAGAGGGCAGTTAGGAAACTGCGGTGGAGGCAAAGAGTGGCGAGGAGGAACCAGCTGCGGCACGCTGGCCTCGCTTGCAAGCTGCGGCCGCGGCGGCCGACCCCCTCGCCTTTTCCCTGGTCCCTTTCTCTCGGGGCAGTTGGGGGGGGCCGCAATGGAGGGGTGGAGGTGGGCCGAGGCGAGGAGGCGCCAGCCGCGGCACAAGCACCTGGGTCAAACCCAGACAGGAAATAAAGACAGCGCCGAGGGCGTCGCAGGCGAGAGTACCCACGAGGGCGTCGATGAGAATCGCGCGTCAAATGGATATTCGAGCATCTGTGAGTGTAACATGTCTTGGGCCGTCTGCCTGGATCTATCTCGCACCCGATCTTGCTCTGTCCAGGTATTATTCTTTTGCCTTGGTCGAGAGACACCTCGCAGCGCCCACGCGGGATCAGTGGACTGCCAAGGCCCAGAGAGCTCGCCGTCGACCTTTCGTAAACGCCGCTCGGCCTAGAGTGGAAACGTGGAGTTATCGCGCGAATGAGGGCGGCAAGGTCGCGCGGGCGCAGGGTCGCGTGCAAGCTCGCGGAGCAGGGGGCGCCGGCGACTTCCCAGCGCTCCGCGCGGCGTCAGGCGGCGTCTTCGACGGGCTTCAGCCCGCCACCTAACACTGCAAAGGATATTCGACGGCTCCGATCGAGCATTGAGGAATCAGCTCCCAAGGCTTTCCAGGCGAGAAACGCCCAGCAGTTATGCTACAGTTGGGCTCGGGACTTACGTTTCCCTTCCCCAGCTTCCATGGGCCGTGGGTGGGGGCTTTGACGCGACCTCCGCAGACCTAGCTGGGCGCGGCTGAATCGATCGCGCGCGCGGGTCTGCGCGCCCAGCTGATGCGCTCGACGCGCCGCGGGGCGCGCGCCGCGGCCTGGCCGTTCCCATCCGCGACGAGGGTCGACAGCTCATCGCATAATCTCGGCGCGCAGCCTCCCCCCCGCCAGTCTCGAGCCCGTCGACGCAGCCGCGGCCCCATCGCAAGCCGCAGCGCGCCAAGAGAGAGCTCCGGGGGCGCGCCGCATGTCTTCCGCGACGCTCCAAGACTCAAAGACGCGCGCGAGGGGCCCGCGCAAGGGTCTCAGGAGTTGCCCTTTAGGAGACGGGAGCCCGCGGGGCCCCCGCGACTCCGGGGGGCCCGACGAGGCCCCGAAGAGGAGGGCCCGCGGGCCCACGAATCAGGTTCAATAGCCCCTAGCCCCATCGGCGCGAGCGCCCCCGCGGGACATGGGCCGGCAGCGTCGAGCGCGCGCGCCCTTAACCCTGGGGCCGCCAATGATTCGATTCAGTCTGCCCCTTCGCCCCCCTCCGCTGCCGCGCCAGCGCGGCTCCGGGAACGGCGCCGGGGGGCCGCGGGGGGCTCTGGGAATGCGCGCGACGGCGCGTGACCAGCCATTGCGCCGTCTTTAGCGCGCCGATAGAGAAGGGATTCTATGTGAACCATGACTCACGCGTTGGGCGCATGTGCGCGAGCGGCTGAGAGCGCCATTCTGGCGGGCTACAATAGGGGCCAATCAGGGCGTTCACGTTGCCAGGGGCAACTTTTAAGCGTTCAGCGCGCGGCGGGCCAGATCGCGCGCGACGCAGGCCCCTGCCTGGCCGGGCGGCCAACTGGCGGACTAGAGTTCGCGCTGTTCCGCGCTGGCTTCATCGGCGCAGGGTTCGAGGCAATGGCGCTGCACGGGCGCGGGGGCCATCGGGCGCAGGCGCCGCGTCTGTCGAGAACCTTCGCGAGGGCATTGTCGTGGCCATGTCCGCGCGCGGGGGGGCGCCGTATTGGGATCTGGTTTCAGAAGCCCAGGCGCCTTGCGAGCTTCCGGACCGGGGCTTTGGAGGCCCCCGGGGGTTTCGCTGAAAAAGGGCCTCCAAGAGGGCCCAGGGGCGCGCTGCGCGCGTGTCCTTGAGGGGGTCCCAGGGTTGATTCGTCGAGGGTTGTTCGCGAGGCATCGCATTTAAGCCCCCGCGCGAGGCGCCGTCTGCCGCCGACGAGTTCGTCGGAGATGGCCGGAGGATTTCCATTCCATAGGACGTCGTCGACGCGCGGGCAGAGCATTGGCAGCGCCCGCGGACCTCCGTGGACAGCGCAGGTAGAGCACTGGAATCAGAACGCGCGACGGCCAAAACGTCGGAGCCCAAAATGGCAGCTCAGCGAAGTTTTATACGGAACCGCCTAAATGGAAGTTCTGGCAGGAGTTGCTCAGCGAAGTTCCAGAGAGAGCCGCCGAAGGAAAGTTGTAGAATGAGCGGCCGAGTAAAGTTTTAGGCAGCGCCTCCCCCCCTCTCGCGCCAGCCCCGTGCCCTGTGCAAGTCGCCCTTCGAGTCTTTCGATGCTCGCCGGTACTATTTTGCAAGGGCGCAGTGGCCCGACAGGACCCGTGCCAAACGCGCTATTGTTTCCACCACTCGGACCCGCCCGAAACGCATCGAATTCGCACGGGATCCGTCCAAGAAGCTCCGGGCCCGCATGGGGTCCGCAGCGGATCCGCACCCTGATTCGACGTCCGAGGCGAGATTGACACACCCGAAAGTCTAATGCATTCGTGCGATTGGAGACTTCTGGCCGAAGTCTCAAATCGCACGAACTTACCTAATTGTCTGTCGGGCGCATTTGGCGGCCGAAAAGGCGGGGCTCGGGGGCCCGCGGGCGGCGTCTGCATGCGGGGCGCAAGTTCACGGGGCATTTGGGAGTCAGTTGCCGAATCTTCAGATGCGTCTGGGGGCGGTCTCGGGGGCGGCCAAAAGGGGACATTCGTTAACTTTTTCCATGAGATGAGGGCCCCTGGCTTCGACCCTGGGATTTGGCCGCGCACTGCGAGCGCGGGCATGGCTGAGAGAAAACGAAGAAACATTGGTTTTCAAGCCGCGCGTCTGTTCTGGCGGCGGGCAAGCTTGGCCTGCATCTGCTTTCTCCTTTCCAGCGGCCCCAGCCAGACGAATGCGCTGGGCGCGCTAGGGGCCCAGTCTCAGCCGCCGTCGCTCATTCGCTTTCGGCAGGTGAGGCACCCTGTGCCCCTGGCGCGCGGGAAGTGCTCCGCGCGCGGGGCGGCGCTGACAGCGAGTGGTCGGGTCGGCGTGATTCCCTGGTCGCCGCGGACCAGGTCGCCGGCTCACGCGTGGCGTTTGGGGGGAGGTCAGGCATGTGAGCCTTGGCGGTGGGCCACCGATCGCGTTTGCGGGGGCGGCTTCGAGGGCGGCGCCAGCAGCGCTGCGCCGGGGCGCATCAGTTGCGGCGGGTGCCCAGGGGCAGACTGTTAGCAGAGGTCATCGCCAGCGTCGCTGTTTTTTTGGGGGGGTGGGGGGCGGGGGGTCTTAGACGCGATCTCGCAGAGTGGGCATTGGGTTGACTTTGGATGACTTCTGCCTCAGGTGCGCGAAAGCGCGGGGTGGGGCCCTTCGCAGGCACTGGCTGAGCGAGCGCAACACAGGGCATTCCATCCACGGCGCCTCGGACTCCCTAGTCCCACGGGCCATGGCCCAGAGTGAGATGGCAGCTTGTTTTTGGATGGGGTTTGATGTCGCCAGGTTGGCTCGAGGTTGACCCGCCGGCCCAGCGCGAGCGCTGGGGCAAGGTGCGCGCCGCAGATAGCGGGCTAACACGTGGGCGTCTTGGAACGAGGGGAGAAGAGGAACCCCGCGTTGTCTTCGGGATCGCCTCTGGAGGACCCGACTCCAAGAATCCCGCGTTCAGGAGAGCTGGCGCTCCCCCCCGCGCTGGCTGCCCTCTCGGCGCCGCGCCCGCCCCGCCCGCTGGCGGCCGCCGCCGAGCGCGGCCGCCCTGGGCCCCGCCTCGGACGGCGCGGAACGCTCGCTGCCCACCCGCCTCGTCGGCTCTGCAGGCTGGCCGTCGCCCCTGCTGGCAGCTCGCGCTGGCCGCGCTCGGGGGGCACCGCCGTTGCGCCTCTCCCCCCGGTTTGTCCTCCCGCCGGTTGGGGGCCCAGGCCAATGTTCTACTTGCATGCGGCGCCGTCCTGTCCCTGGCTGCGATGCGGCCCTGGGCGGGCTGCTGCTTCTCTGCCCACCCCTGCCTGTCCGCCCTCCGCCTGGGCCCGAACCGCCTGGCTGTCTTTAGGCGCTCAGCCCCCCTGGCGCCCGCCGCGCTTGGCCGCGTCGGCCCGCCTCCCTGCGGCCGCCTCAGCGCCCGTTGCGCCGCGCTGGCCTGCCCAGCCCGCAACCGCCCGCCACGGCTGGGAGGGCGCCCTGGTCGACGGCCCCTCCGTCTGGTATGTAGTTGCTCGCGCATGTCCATTAAGTCACACGAGGAGGTGGTCCAGGATATCACGGTTTGTGACCTCGCAGGATGCGCCATTGGCTGCGCAGTTTTACGCGCAACGCGCGCGTCGCACGATTCGCAGGACACCAACATGAGGACGAGGACTTACTTATGTCCCAGGTTCGAAGAGGAACGTGGGGAAACGGCGGGCAGGGAAAAAGCGAACGAAAGGCCGACAAGTTTACGCGACAGCATCCGTGAGACGGTGGAGGGAGGATGAGGACGACAACGAAAGAGGCACGATGAGGAAGGAGGGGTGGCGATCAGTTGCCAATGGTCCGCCGGAAAATCAGCGCGGCCCGCGCCATGTCGCTCTTGCGCTCCAGAGGACCAGTTGTTCATAGATAGTACAAGAAGCGAGCGAGGCCGAGCTCGCCCACCAGGTTCCCCGTTTCCCCCCCTGCACTTTGCAGCGCGGGAGCCAAGCGCCAGCAGGCGCACCGCCAGGTCTTCGGGCGGCCTGCGGGGAAGGGAAGTCAAGGCCACTATGAGTCTGCGTAACGCGTCATTCCGCTGGAGCCCCAAGAAGCCTCGAAAGTGGCGACATTTTCGCAGTTCGCAGCCTCCCAAAGGATGGCGAGATCTAGATTGAGTTCGAGTGGCGCGTCATTTCGCTGGATCCGCAGCAGCCGTCAAACATGGCGATAATCTTACAGGTCGCAGGTCCCCAGGGACGGCGACGTCTCTGTGGGCCTGCGTCGCGCGTCACTCGAACGTGCCGACTGCTTCGCAGTTCGCAGCCCCCCGCCCCTGGGCTGCCGAGCTCGACTTTGAGTTCGCGAAGCGCGTCACTCCGCCGGGCCCTCCGGCAAGCCCCGAACGCGGCGGCCGCTTCGCAGCTCGCGCAGCACTTGAGGGCTGGCGAGGTCTACAGTATGAGCTTGCGCGTGGCGCGTCGCCCCGCCGGACCCTCCAGCCACCCTCGTAAGCCGCGAGGGTTTCGCAGCTCGCAGCCCCCCGGAGATGGCGAGGTCGAATCTGAGCTTGCGTAGCGCGTCGTTCCGCAGGACCTTCGGGGAACTTTCAAACGTGGCGACAGCTTCGCTGCTCGCAGCCCCCCCAGGGACGGCGAGGTCTAGCATGAGGCTGCGGGGCGCGTCCCTCCGCGGGACCCCCCCAGCGGCCATCGACAATGGCGACAGTTTCGCAGTTCGCACCCCCCCCCCCGGGATGCCGAGCTCCAGATTGAGTTTGCGAGGCGCGTCGCTCCGACGGGCCCTCCAGCAAGCCTCGAACGTGGCGAAGAGTTCGCAGTTCGCAGCCCTTGAGGGCTGGCGAGGTCCACAGTATGAGCTTGCGCGGCGCGCCACTCCGCTGGGCCCCATTAGCAGTATTCAAAGATGGCGACGGATTCGCACACGCAGCCCGCAGCTCCCTGTAATGGCGAGGTCGAGTATGAGTTTGCTGGACCTTCCAGCAGTTTTCGGTCGTGGCGACAGTTCCGCAGTTCGCGGTTCCCCAGTGTGGCGAGTTCTAGTAGGACTTTGCGTAGCTCGTCATTTTGTTGAACCCCCAAGCAGCCCTCAAACATGACAACAGGTTCGCAGTCAGCTGTCCCCAGGGACGGTGAGGTTCAACTGGAATCTACGAAGCTCGTCACTCCGCTGGACTCCCCAGCAGCCTTCAAAGCTTCGCGTTTCGCGGCCCCCCTAACGTGGCGAGGTCGAATTGGTTTTGCTTAGCGCGTCATTCCGCAGGACCCTCGAGGAGCCCTCGACCGTGGCGACGGTTTCGCAGTTCGCAGCCCCCCCAGGATTGAAAGGTCTAGCATGAATATGCGTAGCGCGCTGTTCTGCTGGACCCTCCAGCAGCCCTCGAACGTGGCGACTGTTTCGCGGTGCGCAGCCCCCCCCCAGGGATGGCGAGGTCCAAACTGAGTCTGCGTAGCGCGTCTTTTTGTTGGACCCCCCAACAGTTTTCAAACATGGCAACAGTTTGGCATTTCGCAGCCCCCCAGGGATTGTGAGGTCTGGCCTGAGCCTGCGTGGCGCGTCGATCCTCTGGGCCTTCCAGCAGCCTTCACAAGCGGCGACAGCTTCGCAGTTCGCAACACCCCAGGGATGGCGAGGTTTAGCATGAATCTGCGTAGCGCGTCAATCCTCTGGACCCCCCAGCAGCCCTCGAAAGTGGCGACTGTTTCGCGGTGTGCAGCCCCTCAGGGATGGCGAGGTCCAAACCGAGCTTGCGTGGCGCGTCACTCCGCTGGACTCCCTAGCAGTCTTCGAAAGTGGCGACCACGAGGTCTAGCATGAGTCTGCGTGGCGCGTCACTCCGCGGGATCCACTAGCAGTCTTCAAACATGGCGGTAGATTCGCAGTTCGCAGCCCCCCCCCCGGATGGCGAGCTCTAATTTGAGTTGCATAGCGCGTCACTCCGCTGGACCTTTCAGCAGCCCTCGAACGTGGCGACCGTTTCGCAGCTCGTAGGCCCCCAAGGAGCCTCCAGACAGGACGGCGAGGTAGAACGTTGGAGGCAGGGTTGCAGGCAATTTGAAGGGGGGAGGAGAAGGGAGGCGGACGGGAAGGAGTTGCGACCGCAGTGCTCTGTTCACAACGAGAACCCAACTCAGGAGGGTTTGTAAAAATGAGTTTCAGCCGAGAGCTGAAATTTGTTGTTTTGAAACTCCTCGAATATTGTTTGCTTGCATCAGGGTGTTCTTTGCGTTGCCTCCAGAGAGTTTTGGGGGGTCCTCCGGGTTTTCACCTTGCACCCGCCCGTCACCGCCTCGTCGCCGCCTTGTGTGCGGATAGTGACGATGACGATGATGACCATGATGACGATGGCAATGACGATGATGACGATGACGATACCGATGACGATGTTGTCATCAGCATCATCATCATAATCATCATCATCATCGTCATCATCATCATCACCATCATCACCAGCATCAACATCATCATCAGTATCACCATCGTGACCATCGTCGTCATCATCGTTAGCATCATCGTCATCAGCAGCATCGTCAGCATCATCGTCATCATCATTGTCAGTATCATCGTCACCGTCATCCTCACCTTCTTCTTCTTCTTCATCATCATCATCATCATCAGCGTCAGCGTCAGCGTCAGCGTCAGCGTCATCGTCCGTCGTCCGTCGCCGCCTCGTGCGCTGGCTGCGCCCTGAGGAGCTCTCCCCCTGTGGCCCGCCCCGTCGCCCTCGCGGCACCGCGAGCAGCGCCGAGGCGCAGAAAGGCCGAGCAGCGGAGAGCGCAGCACGCGCGCGGGCGCGCGGCCGGCCCCTCTGAGAAGCCAGGGTCGCAGGCCCGGAGGTGGGCCCCGGCGCCAAGATCGGCGGTGTGCCTCCAGCGAGGGAAGACGATCCCGACCTGGGTGATGGTGGTATGTAATGTTCTGGCTTCCCAGGTGGCCAAAATGTTACCACCGACGCCATGATCCAGGATCAGCTTCCCCATGTGGAGGCAGACCCCTGTGCTGGTGTTGGTGCCAATTTTCAGGCCTCCAACAGGGGCATGGATACACCCGAAGGGGATCAACTGCAGATGCCACACACACACAAACACGCACCACTCGGCAGCTCCCTCCCCTGTCCCACGTGCCCGGCCAGGGAGCGCAGGTTACAGCGAGTAGCTCCCTGGCGCGGCACTCTTGACTTCAGGCTCTGACGCGGCTTCCTGTCTGTTCTTCCTTCCAGGGCTCTCCGGAGGGTTTTCCGGGTAGGGTCTGATGTGAGCACACGTGGACCGTTACGCCACCGTTGCACCACCACCACCGCCACCCACGTGCCCTCCCGCCCCCCCCCCCCCCTCATCCATCCTCCCCGCGCCGCGGCGCCCGCGCGTCGCCTCGGTCTCCCCCGCGAGGCCAGCGAAGGCGGCGGCAAGGAGGGCAACGGCAAGAGCAGGGGCGGCAAGGAGGCCAAGTCCGGCGGCAGGGCGAAGAAGGGCGCTTCTGGCGTTGCGTAATGGGGGGGGGGGGGGGCGATCAACAGGGGAGTAAGAAGAAAGGTGCACCAGAGTGGCATGGATGGGGGTTCTCTGGGGCCCAAGGTGGGCACGAAAGGTGCACGCTTCTTCGCCTCCCAGTACTCGCCCCCTCGTTAAGTAACGCCCAAGGCGCCGAGGGCGAGGGCAAGGCGGGCGGCAAGGCAAAGAAGGGCGCCGACGAGAAGGACGGGGTCGAGAAGCCAGAGAAGAAGTAAGCAGCTCGAGATGAGCCGGTGGAGTGACGTACAGGTCTTTCTGTCCATGTTCACATGGTGTTTACTCGCATCCGGTGCTTTCTACCGAAAAACTACCGTACTAGATGCTCGCCAGAGCGCAAGACGAGGCACTGAAAAGGCTCGTCGCGAGGCGGACCGGTAGAGTTACATGCAGGTCATTGGACTGTCCATATTTACATGGTGCTAACTCTAACGCGGGAGACTCCGACAGAACAATCATCGCAGTCCTCCCTTCCCCTTCCTCTCAGTCCTCCTTTGCTTGCTCCTCCCTCCTTTGCTCGCTTCTCCTTTCACCCTTTGCTTGCTCCTCCACTCAGTCCTCCTTTGCTCGCTCCTCCTCCTCCTCCTCTCCTCATCCTCTCAGTCCTCCGTTGCTCCCTCCTTTGCTCGCTCCTCCTCCTCCTCCTCCTCTCAGTCATCCTTGGCTTGCTCCTCCCTCCTTTGCTCCTCTCATCGCAGGGACTCCCTCCTTTGCTTGCTTCTACCCTTCCTCTCAGTCCTCCGGCTCCTCTTCGGCCTGATCGTCTTCTCCTTCGTCGGTGTCATCAATGTTGCCGCCGCTGTGCGCGTCTCCATGCCTAGAGGCTCCCAAGCCTCCAGGCTGGGTGCTTCGCACCACGGAGGAAGAGGGAGAGGCGGAGTAGAAGGAGGAGGAGGAGAATAATAACAATAAGGAGGAGAGACAGATTATAAAGGGAAAGATATGAGGATGATGCGGAGGATGATATAGGATGATCATAAGGTTGAGGAGTATTGTGGGGGTGGATAACAATGACGATGGTGATGAGTGAGACATTGACAGCACAGCGGTTCCCACCAATGGTGCTCGTATTCAGGGTTACGTTTGTAGGCAATATAAATAATTGACGCTTGTTGTCGTTTGCTTGCTTCGGATGTTCCCTGCTGTGCATGATGCACCTGGCCGCCTGGGATCTTGTTTGTTCGGATGCTCCTTGCTTCACGTGCTCGAGCTGGCTACTGGGGATTTGGTTGGTTCGGTCCTTCCCTGTTGCTCATGCTACACCTGGCTGTCGTGGACTAGCTTGACTCGGCTGTGCAAGGCTGCTCTGATTGTACCTTCATGCTGTGTGGTGTTTCATTGTACGCGGGCAGCGCGCCAGTATCACTGGGATGATGTCGTAACGCTCTGGGGGTGAGGAGGGGGGAGGCGCGCGGTCGACCTTTCGTGGAAGAAGAGCTACGATATTCGCCGCTCGATGGCCCGATCTCTTGAACGATAACTTCGCAACATACGCGCGCTGGACTTGCAGCGCGTGGAATCAAGGGAGGTCGGCCCCCTAAACTTACACCGTGCAAGGAGACCCCAAAACCTCAAGCAGAGGATCGACCACAGAATCGTTTTACCCCAGAAGTGATCCGCCCGTCGAATCTACGACAAGTACGTGGAACGCCCCGTAAATCTACGGAGCGTTCTACACCTGCTCGTGGACCCGACGAAGACACCCAAGTTCGGGGCACACCGTGCATTCTGCCGTCGATGCCCCCCTCGAAAACGGCAGCGCTGCACACCCGCACTCAGCCACGCATAGCCACGCGCAGAGGGGGGTGGGGGGAGGGGGGAGGGCTTCTTAGAAGCACCCCTGCTTCTTATAAGGCGCGGGCCTTATCTATAGACGTAAGGCCGAGGCCTTCTAAGAAGCAGCCTGCTTCTAAGAAGCCTTTCCCCCTCCCCCCACCCCCCTCTGCGCGCCGCCAACGCACCCAGCGTGGCGTGCCCGGCGTGGGGCGTGGCCGCAGGCCGCAGGGAGGCGAGCGCACGGCGCGCGGCGGCGGCGCGCGGCAGCGGCCGCGGCACCGCGGCACGCTTCTTTTGTGTGTGTGTGTGTGTCTGTGTGTGTGTGTGTGCGTGTGTGTGTGTGTGTTGTGTGTGTTGTGTGTGTTGTGTGTGTGTGTGTGTTGTGTGTGTGTTGTGTGTGTGTTGTGTGTGTTGTGTGTGTTGTGTGTGTGTGTGCGTGTGTGTGTGTTGTGTGTGTTGTGTGTGTTGTGTGTGTTGTGTGTGTTGTGTGTGTGTGTGTGTGCGTGCGTGTGTGTGTGTGTGGTGTTGTGTGTGTTGTGTGTGTGTGTGGTGCGTGTGTGGGTTGTGTGTGTTGTGTGTGTTGTCGTGTGTTGTGTGTGTTGTGTGTGTTGGGTGTGTTGTGTGGTGTGTGCGTGCGTGTGTGCGGGTGGTGTGTGTGTTGTGTGGATTGTGTTGTGAGTGTGCTGTGTGTGTTGTGTGTGTTGTGTGTGCTGTGTGTGGTGCGTGTGTGGTGTGTTGTGTGTGTTGCGTGTGTTGTGTGTTGTGTGTGCGTGTTGTGTGTTGTGTGTGTTGTGTGTGCTGTGTGGGTTGTGTATTATGTGTGTTGTGTCGTGTGTGTTGTGTGTTCTGTGAGTGTGTGTGTATTGTGGTGTGTTGTGTTGTGTGTGTTGTGTGTGGTGTGTGTTGTGTGTGTTGTAATGTGTGATGTGTGTGTGTTGTGTGTGTTGTGTTTGTTATGTGTGCTGTGTGTGTTGTGTGTTGTGTGTGGTGTGTGTG